TACAATCTGAAAAAGGGATGAGTTGCATTATTAATTATTTTTAAATCATGGATTATTTTTCCCTCACACTTACATGGTCATGACTGGTGTGCACACAGAAGCGTGCACATATTTACCTTTTTAATGTGGCAAAAAGTCATCTGTGCAAATCAAAGAATCGGCACACAGCAATGTATTTGTCACCATTGCAAGCAAAAGCAGAGACATCAGTAAGAATAAATCCGAAAACTTTACATATTAACTACTACAGAAGCTTATCTACGATCCTTTGCTGCAAGTGGGGCCTCAAAAAGGATACGAAAATCTCCTGAAGACCTGAGCTATGCAGGCTCTGTGCTGCTTTAATGTTTTTTGCTCACAAGAAAAGCCTTGTCCTCCAGCAAAACAGCTGAGCTGGAAGCAAATTCAAGGTCATTACTGTATTAGTTGTAAGAGGACCCTTACAACCTCATAGGATCTTGAAGGCTCCGAGCGGAAAGCTGCACTAAGTCCAGAGAAATATCAGTTTATCTTATCTCCCTCTGTGCTAAACATTAAGTCATCTCCCCCTTCAGCCCCAGTGGCCTCTCACACCTCGCTGATCCTGCCTTCTCGCCACACTCCCCACCACTTGCAGCAGACCCCTCTGCTGTCCAGTGGGGAATCTCCCCCAAACCATCGGAGGCATGTGCTCGGGCTCACAATGTATGTTTCTGAAGACGGGGCACCTCAACTGCAGAGAAAAAAGCCATCTGTGTAGGAAAAGAGAAACGATAAGCATAATGAATTACACTGGCTGGATAAAGAAAAGCAGGCATTTTCATGAACATAATTACTGAAGTCCACTGGATCCTTCAGGAAGAAACCTGCACCTTTCTCATCTGTGCTCATCATCCAGTTTTCAAGCTGTCAAAGCAAATCTATACCCATTTTTAAATTATCATTAACATTGCTTCTTGTCTACAACTTCACAACCCCTTCCCTTAATGATTCTCCTACTTACGAGCACTGAGAACACGGGAGTCAAAGCTCAGGCTTTGACAGGAGACAGGAGAAATAAGCCTGCAATTAGGAAAAAGCCCCAAGACCTAAACAAACCCAGTTACCTGTTCAGCAGAACAAGTTGCTTCTGTGGCTGAAGATCTTATTTTGCTAAGTTTCCTGTCTGATGGGCTCTTTCAACCATCCGCTGATCTAAACTCCAACTGCCATACGGACCGAGGCTTTTTTTCCTGCCCAGTCAGGTTGCTTGCATGAAAGCCATAAAAAGCATGAAGCAAAGTACAAATCAGTGAGATGGGTAGGAAGGGGAGACTTATTTATTTGCTTAATACAAGTACTTAGAGCAGCTATGAACAATAAAGGCAAACCACAAGAGTACCTTTGAAGTCCCCCATAAAATAAAGACAACTCTTCAGTTAAAATTAGAGAAAGCTCATTTTCCAGAAGCACTGCTTATTATGGGAAATTTCATTTTGCTACGGTAAGATGCAAGAAACCAATGAATGCCCTCACCCCCATATAGCCCATTGTTTTGCAACAAAGAACAGTCTTAATTTTTCTAAAGTAGGCCTCCTGACTATTTCTTAAAATGAGAAGAGATGGATGAGGGAGATTTTTTTTATTC